GGCCATCCATCCCAGACCGCGGGATTGCCTATCCGCCGACTGATCTCGCTTAACCGAGATCAAATAGCCGGACTTGATCTCCACCGTAGGATGGATTAGGCGCACGATCCGACGGTCACCACGCTCAGTCCGACGTGGTTAAGTGGCGGCAATCATTTCGGCGCCGCCACTAATCACCGTTAACGATTAGGCGTCCTCAGCGATCGAAATCCAGTCATTCACATCCGCCACGTGGCCCTTGTCCGCTCCGTGGTTTATTTAGACGAACCCGAATGCAACACCTGTCCAACCGCCGCCTGCAATCATTAATAATGATTAAAAATATCATTATTTAAATGTTTTAAATTCATTTTTCTTCTAAAAATAAATTAATATTATTTTAAACTTCTAAAAAAAATATTTGTTTCATAGAAATATTATCTGAAAATAAAAATGTTAATTTAAAATTAATTTTAAGTTAAAATATTAATATATTTGAAAATAATTTAAGTACCAATTATTTTAAGTAAATATTTAATTAGTACAATGTTAAATATTTAATTAAATTTAAAACTTTTTTTAAAATATGTTTTAAAATTTAAAATATATATATATATAATATATATATACTATTATACTATATATATTATTATATATATATATATATAATAATATATATATATAATATATGTACTATATTATATAGTATTGGAATTTAATTTAGGAATATAGTTTTTTTAATAATTTTGAAAATATTAAATTTTAATTACTATTTAATTAAGCCTTACATTTAATATCATCTTAATAATTTTAAATTGCCAAAAAATTTAATGATTAATTAAATTTCAAGTTAAGAATATTTTGAATATAAAAAATAATTTAATATTATATTAACCTTAAGGCTTTCAAAATTTTAAATTTAATTTAAGTTATTTTAGAAAATAAAATAAATTATTAAAATTCATAAAATTTCATAATATTCTACCTTTTAATTTATTTTTAAAATTCAAATATTCATTTATCTTGATTAATTAGAGTTATTTGCAATATCTTAAATATTTAAGTTACTATTTAATTAATATATACTTTTCTAAAATAAAATTATTTTCAAATGACTTTGAATCAGTGATCTCTTAACCCTATAATTTATTTTTAAATAATATTTGAATATATTTATTTTAAGAACTTATATACTACATATATTAAGATACTTTAACATTTTTATATGAATAATTATCAGAACATATTTATATATTTTGACACCAGTTAAGGACAGTAAATTAAGAACAGTGTTTAAGCAAACTTTAGAGAAATTCTAGACATTTTGATATACATTATTTGACTTGAAAATTTGAACCATTTAAACTTAGTGACATCAAAACCCATAGAAAAATTTTCACTGGTTTTTGAACATCCACTTATAATGTTTCTTATAGTTCAAACCCTTAATTAAGTTTTGCTTTCTACATTCTAATAAATTAAATTTAAATCCAAAAATAAAATAATATCTCTAACTGACAAATTATATAATTAGAAAATTAAAACAACTTAATTTGACAGTAATTGAATCTTAATTTAATTTTAATGAAATTGAATTTTAATTAATTTATTATAAAATTCCAAAAAAATTCTCAAACACTTAAGAATCTCTCCTTAAGTCCTTCCCGATCTTTGGAGTTGATTTCAAGAAGTTGGGGATTCATTTGGACTCAAATCAAGAAAACCCCTCTAATTAAACAATTTTAAAAATTCAATAAATAGCTCAAACTTCCAAAATTCATATCTAATTCAAGAAAATTCCAAATTGACCAAACTCAAAGGCATTCAACTCAAAATAAAATCTAATATTTATTAAAAATATTAAAATTCCATAAATCATTCAGATTTGAAAAAGTCAACTATTGGTCAAACTTAAATCAAATCGAGCTAAAACTTCAAACTACATAACTAAATGAAAAAAAAAATCAATTTCAACGTACTTACAGTCTAACTGATCGTATTAAGGTATAGTATTTTAATAAAATATTAATTTTCCAGAAAACACTCTTAATTAAAAAATCAATTTTTAGCCCCTTAATTAAATGATTAAAAAATTTTGAAAAAATCTAAAATTCAATATTTAATTCCAAACTCCATAAAATATTAAGCTAATGTTTAAAACACTCAATCAACCTTTTAAAACACAACAATCATCCTAAAGATGAAGTTTATTAGCTGGACTACTCCGGGCTGCGGGGCTACGTGTAGACTTGTCAATTTCGGGTCACGGGTCGGGTTCGAGTCGAACCCGGAACTGACCCGGCACTATTAGGGTTTGGGTCAACCCGACCCGTTTTTGCAAACGGATCAATTTTCTGGACCCAAACCCGACCCGTGTTGCATCTATTTAGACATTAAACACCCAATATGAATTAAAGGGCCAATTAGGATCTGCTCTAAATGTCGACCCTATTCTAAAAAACGTATCTTAAATAACATCCTTACCACTCAACATTAAAAGATCGGACACAAGATTTTAAAACGCCTAAGTGGTTTAGCTAGCTCCCCAATCCAGATCGGGATAAGTCCAGATTTGCACTGTATTAGTTAGGTTCGGGTTACTTTTCAGTACCCAATTTAGACTTAGGTTCTGAGGCAGGCTCGGGCTATAAGACCTCAACCTCCGGGAATTGAATCCCAAACTTCTAATAAAATTGATCATTCAAACTTAAATCTCTATCAATCGAATTCAAGTCCAACACTTAGGATAGGCTGAGGTGTTTCCGATGTAATTCAGAATCTCAAACACCTCCTACACTTCTTCCTTTGACTCCAAAAATAAGTGTTCATCTTCGATCTAAACCCATTTGAAAATTCTAACTCTTGTCTCCTTTGACATCGAACTTTGAAAATTTTAAATAAAATTTTTACCGCTATTTTAATCGAGAGTTTTCGTAAGAAAACTTTAGTTTTTCTATGATGTAATTAACTACGAGGACTTGCGCTCGAAGGAGATTTAGTAACACAGATCTAAATTTTCAAAATCAATTTTTCAAAACTTTAATTAATTATCTTTGGGAAAATCAAATTTAAAATTCAACGATCATTATCTCCGTTTTCAAATGATCAATAGTGATTGATAACTTCTTCCTTCAGAAAGATATATCAGTTTTTATTGTGATTTTGATTATGAAATTAACAATCTCTTATATGAATTATTATAGTTAAACAATTAATTGAACATCATTTTGATATTTCGAAATCATATGTTGTCTCTCTTGAGTTTGACTACGATAATAAGGATGAATTCAAAATTTTGTAATTCGAATCCATTAGGGAATGATATGTTCACCTCCCGAGGTGATATATTATTCATAATGACGCGTTCAATTTCAAATTTTCAAAAATTAAATCTTTCCCAAAGAAAATTAATATTTTCAAAACACTATATTTTTCAATCACAAACAATGGATAGAAGTAAAGCGACTAGCAAAAGTTCGACATCGGATAGAAGTCCAAAAAAAGTCCAACGATGGGCATAAGTTAGACGACGGGCATAAGTCCGACGATGGGCGTAAGTTCGATGTTGGGGAGAAGCACGATGAAAGTCCGACGCGGGCAAAAGTCTGACGTCAGATAGAAATACGAAGACGGGAGAAAGTTCGACGTTAGGTAGAAGTCCAACGAAAGTCCGGCGACGGGTAGAAGTCTGATGTATGGTAGAAATCCGACGACGGGTGAAAGTTCGACATCAGGTAGAAGTCCGACGACCGGTAGAAATTCGGTGACGGGTGGAAGTCCAGAGGCGGGCAGAAGTCCAGCGATGGACGAAAGTCCTGCGTTAGGTATAAATCCAGCGATGGACGGAAGTCCGACGTCAAATAGAAATTCGGCGTAGGAATCCGATGAAAATGTGGAGACCGTAGTTAGTCTGGTGTCAGTCAGTGACTGGGAGGTGGTCGACGAAGAGCTTGGTGGCAAGAGAAATTAAGTTTCTCTTCTTCTTTCTCTTCCTTGCTTCTTGCTTGGGGTTCCTTTCTACTCCTCCTTTGAGGAAATTAGGGATATATTTATAGTTTTCTGAGAGTGACATGGCCATTAAATAAGAGGAATATTAAGGATAAATTGGGAGTGATTTGAACGGACGACCGATGTGGATTCTCTTGACCATAGACCTTTTATTTGGTATTTGAATGATTTAATGATATCATAATTCAGCTATCTTAGGCTCATTGGATTCGTCTCGTTGAGCCGCACGATTCGACTTTAAGCATATCATATTTGAAAACTGTTTGGTAATCCAAATTATGGTTTGAACCTTTCAAATATACTTCGGGTCTTTTATTTGGAGATCCATTTGGACTCAGATTAAGTTGAATTCTGTGTCGTTGGGTTCTTATTTTCGAGACGTTCAACTCGACTGTAAGTTTGCTGAAATTTTTTAAGTTTCCAACTTGATTTTGCTTCAAGATTTGTGCCCGATCAAGATAATTTTTGATGATACATCAAGACTACCTAATAAATCATAGGTAATAGGTTAGCTAGGACCCACCCTAATTTGACTATTGTCTCAGCTGACCAAGATCAACTTTAAGTCCATTGAGAAAGTTAAAAGGTACCCTTAGTACTCACTTGAATAACATAAAGTTAATTAAATCCAATCATAGGCCAATATTAGCCTACATTAACCCAATATGTTTCGACTTCACCTACAGAATCACCTTAGGCTACCTACTATACCTAAATGAGTCAACTGCCCAACAGGTCAACCCAAATCAAGCTACACTTACCTCATGTGCATTGTTCTAAACTGCTTTGAGATGTTTTCTTTTGTTTTGTGTCACTATTCATTCATGAAAGATCAAATAAAGATTTTTACAGTCCTAAAAAAACCAAAATCAAAGTTTGTTCAAGCATCACAAACCTGTACAACATTGCTGATCCTTTGAAAGCTGACGCCCTTTGCCTGATTGATTAGTTTTAAGGTTTCTGCAACTCCAGTCAAATCTATCAAAAAATACAAAAGAAAATGAAGGTAAAAGAAGACAACAAAAGACGCTGAGGTATTTTGTTAGCATTCAAATTAATAGTATAATTTATCCAGCCATCATATAGCTCCCAACAAGCAAAGCCAAGCTATTTTCACAATGTAATTAAAAGAAAGGAGAGCCAAATGCAAATATATATACGAGAACCGAGCGAAACTGTAGCCATCTGCTTCAGCTACCATCATCTGTTGATGACTCTGAAGCAGAGTCATCAACAGTAGTGTTGGAGAAAATCTCAGTTGAGCTCCCAGTTTCAATATCTGAAGCCAAAAATTTGTCTTCAGATGGTTTCTTTGAGTGCCAATACATAATGCTTGCTGCAAGCGTAAGCATCATCTTCTGATTGACCTGATAATTTGATATTGGATGAACCAAAAAAAAAGCCTGCAAGCTGAATTCAACAGAAAATTTGATGGAAAGTACCTCTAATATGTCTTCTGGTAACAAAAAGATGGAGCAGCCAAGCTTCCTTGCCACTGAGATGATATAAGAGGCATTCATCTTTTTCTCTTCCTCTGTGTTATTTCTAGATTGTTAATTACATGCTCGAACAATAAAATGTAAGATGATTTATCAAAAAGATGGTTAATGAGGGGATAGGGAGAACCAAGTGCAAGATTAATAATTTTCTCTCACAAGAATGTCCAAATATCAAGGTTTCATAAGATTTGAACATTTAAATAGTCAAATGACTAGAATTTATAAATGGTTACAGGTGCTGAACTGAAGATACCATTCTCTCCTTTGGTTACAAGGCTCCAGTTCACTACTCGAGGATCCACGGCACTTAGCAGTTCAAGGAAAAAAATCCCAGATGAAAGACTTTTGTCCTGAATGTTTAAGAAACTACATTAATTACAGATGTTTTAATAGGATAGAGAATAGGTTTTAGATAGGACCAGAAAAAACAGTTAAGCATAAATCCAATAAGAAAATATGGTGCAGTAAAGTACAGGCTGAAAAAAAGAGGGCAAGCTAAAATATTGTCTAAAAGAAATAGTCAATGTTAAAACTTTTAGGGGGTGTTTGGTATCGGATTGGATTTAGTAAATCGTGTAAATCCGGAATTAGTAAATCCTAGGATGATAAATCCTGAAAAATATTTGGTATGATAAATGTTAAATCTTGTTAGATCCTAAGAAGATGTTTGGCAATATATTTCAGAATTTTTGGCAATTAGATATTTAAATTGTATGATTATGAAGATTATTTAGTTCAAATTACTCATTAATTATTATTTACACTATTAATTATATATTTAGTGATATAAATTTTAATCTATATTAATTAAGCTAATTATATTATTTTTAATTACTAATATATAATTAATTATTCAATTAAGTTAAATTAGACCATTATTTTATGCACTAATTATACTATTAATTTACTCAATTAGTATTATTTTAAATTATATTAATTAAGTTAGCAGTGATAACTTAAGAGGCCCGTAGGTTTTGCCTTACATCTTCTCTTTCGTTGCTTCACAGGTGGTGTATAGATTGCACACATCAATTCTTCATCTCCTTCGTGGCTATTCGACTTTGCTCCTTCGACAACTTTACCTTCCTGTTGGATCGGAAGTTAGGGCATTTTTTATCGGATGCAACAACGGGAGCTCGCTGGCATTGAAGGTAACTTTCTCCCTTTCACGCTCTTCTCCGGCCAAATCCCGTAAATCTCGTTAAATCTAGGAAAGAATGGGATTAGGCTTTACACGGATTTATCAGGATTTATGTCGTAAATCCATCAATCCCGGATTTACGGATTCGCAGGATTTACAGACGCGCGGAATGCGTTTGGCTGGATTTACGTTAAATCCTACTTAAAACTACAACTAAATCTGATACCAAACACCCCCTTAGAGAGAAAAATAACAGGAAAAGACTTGGAAACATTAATGAAAATAAACATTAAATCAATAATTTCTGTGATTGAAATAGATTTTTCTTGAAAATGCTTGATAAAGAATATAAATAAATAGTCAAAATATACGATAGGTTTAAGCATCCTGAAGATTCTAATTTTCGCAGTGAAAAACTGAAAGGCACGAGTATAATAGACAACTTTTGGAGAGTGATTTTAATCATCAATGGTAGCAACAGAGTATTAAAACTTAATATAAAGAATCTCACGCAGGAATTTCAACCTGCACAGCAGGCAAAAAGACAGTAAATATGAGACTACACCAGTAGGAAGCCTATAGGTACCCCATCTGATCTGAGAACCGCAAGAAAATTGATGGGCAACATTAACCGAATGAAAATAAAAGAAAAACTAAAACTAAAATCTACATTGTTTTTGCTGAATAGCCAGGTCATGACAAAAGAATAATGAATCAGATATAGGAAGACATGCGAGACTCAGTAAACGTAAATCTAAATGTTCACAACAAAAGAAGGTGCAAGTAGTTTGGATACTCATCTTCACACATACACGTAGAAAAAGATTAAAATGTTGATTTTCTTTCTTCTGATATTTTACTGATCAAATACTGAACCGCTTTGGTTTGGTGAAGTATAGGGTGACTGCTAGACATTTATAATTTTCTCTTCTTACTTAGGAAAAATATCAGAATTTGCAGTGAAAGATAAAAGAAGATGCATACCTTAAAACTTTCCATCCGTGATTGTCTTCCCGAATCTTTCACTTTATTATTGGCCCAATTCAAAATATCTGCATCAGTAATCTCTTTTTCACAGGAATTGGATTTCAAGTTCTTCAGAAGTTGGAGGATGTTGTATCTCATTAATTGCCACAAAAATGCTGAAAAAAATATGGTTAGGAAATAGTTGATAATTTCAGGCTCCTTGGCAGGCGTTCAAGTGCTATTTCAAGTTCATCATGTTTTCATCATAAATGGCTAAAGTGAACACAATAAGTTTATATAGCTAAATGAGATTATGATTAAGACATGATAATATTATGATATATGTGTTGACAAATTACAAAACATGAATTTAAAAAAATTCGATTAAAGTGATGGATCTAACAATGAGTAAAGCATATACTGATGATCAAATGGCTAAAAATAGACCTTAATTTCGGCATGCACTATGAAAGTAGAAGATATGCAAATAATATGGTAGATATAATTTATATTCAAGTATTAAGAAGAAAAAAAGAATAAGCTGGAGATTACTCAAATAGAATTTATACAAAATGATTTGTGTAAAATAAGTATAAAGAATAAACCGAAGATAACTCGAATAGAAGTTATACAAAATGATTTGTGTAAAATAAGCATAGCATGGGCAAATGAAGAATGGGAATTGATAAATCCAACACCAAATAGTTGAGGCTAAATCCATACAAAAGTTAAAAAGAAATCCAATAGAACAGTCAAAATTTAGTGCAAAAAACTTTTGCTCAAATTATCCGTAGATATGCTAAAACCAAAAAGATTTAAGGCATCGGTGTAAGCAACATACCAAGGATGAGTTTCTTATTTCCTTGCACAATGTCATTCCCAGCAATATTGACTAGTGAAAATTTCAGTTGTTTACCAATCTTCACAACTTGATTACAGTTTTCAACTTTTCTGAATGGCATTCTGATTGGAGGCTTAGTTGCAAACTTCCAAGAAACTATTCCGGGAGAGGACTTGTCAATAGCCTCAAGGAGAATCCACCTAGAATGTAACATAATTGATGCATAAGCGTAAGATAGCCCTTCATGGAATATTCATGCTAGCAAGTTCATCATAATTTTTGGCAAGAAAAAATAATTACTTACCCGTCCCTAAGATCCTCAAACACATTGTTAATGTATGTTGAAATTCCCAGGCTATTCATCCACAAACGAAATGCTCTTTCTTCTCTAGAAACTTGTGTGTCATCTTGTGTAGCATCCAAAAATGAGAATTGCTTCTGCTGAGAAGATAATCCATTCCTGCAGCAAGAAAGTAATCATTTCTCCTACCCAATTAAAACATGTAGAGATCATATACTAAAACAGCTGGAGAGATAAAACAGCCCTCTACCTAATGCATAAAAGTAATGATTGAATTGAGTGAAATCACATCTAAATAGGATAGCATTCTACACAACGCTTGTGGGATGCTCTTTTCACTATAAAGAATTTCACAAACCTGTCATCTACTACTTTACACCCTGCTGTTCAATGAAACTTGGAACATTTATGATACAACCCATGAAGAAGTCCTTGATAACAGAACCATAATGCCACTGAGTAGTGAACGCCCAGGATGAGCTCATCATGTAATGGCAAAGCTAAAGGATTACAGCTTTGGGGAAATAGCTGGATGTTTTTATGGGTGTAGGAAATAGTAGTAGCCTTTTAAATTCTGATAATTTGTTATACGAAGGGATAATGTAATGATTTTAGCAGTTTGCATTTAGGCAATTATTTAGAATTAAGGACACTTATCATGCCCTACTCAAACAATGAAGATGTGAGTTTGTGGGGAAACAATGGTATAAGTAGCTCATCGAAAATGTAATGATTATCCAGAACTTTATTTTTTTTCCACTATTATTCTTCCGGTTTCCTATTCAGCCTCCAATAATGCTCGAATTCACCATTTGTTGTAGCATTTTAGTGCTCTTTTGATAATACCCCCTCTCGTTGTGCACTAATATACTAGATGGTACCCACCCGTCAATCCATATCAAAAATCATTTCAATCTACAAAGCCACATCTCCAAAGCTTCCAATAAGGCTCAAATTCACCATTTATTTTAGTATTTTGGTGTACTTGTTGATACACTCCTCTCCATTGTGCACTGCCTGCCCCTGCTTCAGAGCCTCCAATGAAACTCGAATTCACCATTTATTGTAACATTTTGGCGCTCTTGCTGATAACAATCCTCTCTTCATTGTGCAAAGCTATATTGGATGGCACCCGTTCTTCTATCCAAATATAAAAAAAATGTTTCAAACAAGGGAACAAATCGATGAAATTTGAAAATAAATGTAGAATATGCATCTTTTCCTAAACTTATTGGAGATTAAGCAAGGCCAATCCACACCATCTCCACCTCTTCCCACCAAAACATGAAAAACCATTGCACATCATGAAGAGTTGATGGGGGGCACGCCATTCACAAAGTAATGTTTAGACTATTACCTGGTATGCTAGCCGGAAATTCTCAAGGCTGGAATCAACAATATTGAGCATTATGCATGGATTTCATACTCTCCAATGCAACGAGTTCACCCTTAACAAATTATTCCCACATGAATGGATCGCTAGAGGCATGGTTCTATGGCTGCCTGAGATGAAACGATTATCCTTGTTGGCATGATTTCCCCATTGGCAGTTTTTGCAATAACTTCGACCCTCCAAGTACTGCAACCTTCAATGAGAAAGCACCCAAGTTGGTGCAAACTCTTCACACTCATGAATTATCAATCAGAATTGAAAAGTTATTTGATAAAAGTATTCCTATAATTTTTTTTAAATCAAAGGAGTGACCAACAATCTAAAAAGGAGCGTAAGAATCTTCACCGCATTGACTTATCTGGCCAAGCGTATTAAGGGCTAATATTTTTTTAAGATAAAACAAGGCTGCGCTACCATTTCAGCTCCACTCACATAGAATATTTCTTCCTACCAGTTTCCTAACAACCATTTCTTTCGCATCCTAATAAACGAACAACCATCAAACTAAAGTACAACTACCCATTCACAAAACTTACCCTAATGGAAAATCATAGACAAATGTAGAAGAACCTTTGCCTTTAATTATGATTGAAAAATTCTATATATGAAGTCATATTCGCCAAGAGCAAGTTTGTTCCTTTTACTGATCCTGATTCCGTGACCCCATTTGAAGCCTCATTAAAACAAAATCATATTATCTGAATTACTAGTGTCGACAGAAGACAGACTCCATCAAACCGACCTAAAATAAAATTTCTTCACAATTTGGATGACAAGCTGACATCGCATAATCTTTAGCATTTGATAGCACGCTCACTAGTTCGCAATTTTCAAGTGTTGTTGATTTGTGATTTTAAACCCACAAATGTATTCAGAGCGTCTGTTGAAATTCCCTGCCTGCCCATACACATCGACCTCTCATTTCAGGTCCTCATAGGTACATGGCGCAAACCTTATATGTGAAAACAAATATTGGATATTTATTGAACCTATAGAGAAATCGTATTCAAATTGAGATTTTATAATCCTGTTGATACATGGGGTGTAGATTGTTCTTGAGAGACAATCATTGCAGAAATTTGAATAAAAATTGACACCATATATTTACTCTTAAGCCGTAAAGTACTTCTCATGTTGGATACCACAACCATGCTTCAAGGCTTCCAGCGACTCTTCTAATTTTAAAAACTCCATTTCAGATCAAATAAATAAAATTATCATCCAATGATCATTAGCTTCTTACTTAACCTAATCGCCAATCTAATTACTACTCCAAACACTACCGCAAAACACCACCAGTAGACCATCTTTTCCTTCACCCCTTTGTTAAGAATCCTAATATTTCTTCCATTCAATGAGCCCACCTAACCCGCCACACCTCACCCTTCATGCACATCAAATTCATCTGAAACCCGCAATTCCTTTTGGTTCAGTGTTCGCTACGCATCATTATCCCCCATTTCCAGAAGAAGCAGTTGAATCATTAGTTGTGAAAATGCTACAATCTGCATCTTACTTTTGCCAAGCCCAAACTCTTTTTCATCACCAATTGGTTAACAAAAAAGGATTGATATATGATACTTTTAGAAAAGACCATTCCACATATGTTCCTATTCTCGACCGATCTAAAGAAATGTTCAACATTTTGAAGTTGTGTCAAACAAACTCAAAATTAGATTTGGTTGTGGGCCGTCATCAAATTTGTAATGGCAAATTGAACACATTCCTAAAGTTCATATTTCATATTAAGACATCAATATAAGCTCACCAGAGCCATTCGGCCACAATAATGCACCACCACTTCTCAAATATTATTGAATAACAAACTATTAACCTTATTTACACAAAAATTTTTCATCATTTTAATTGATTGATATCCTAGTTTATGGTTACATAATCCGAGTATTAATGCCCCTTTTTTATGAACGTCAGGCTAGCCAATTCGGCTTCCCTTCCCCTTTTAATTAGATTAGATACAATCAAAACGAAAATAGCGCGGATTTAGGCTAAAAATCAAGTGAGAGGAAGCTACCGAAGAGAGTGGTCGAAAGGAGGTAAGTTGGAAATGAGAGGGAAACAAGATGGAGCTTGAGAGCACATGTAAAGCAATAAGCAACGTTCACCATAACGGACGAGTGTGAAGCCAGTGAGCACAATAGGAAGTTCTCACCTTTGCAACCAGGGCTGCGGTTTGAAGTGTGAAAAAAGAGGCAAGGAGGGTTGACTTCAAGGGTTATCAACACTAAAATGCGCCAAGAGGAATAGCGACATTAATGAATGGAAATTGATGAATAGACTGACATGAGCGAAGGAGATGTAAAGAGGAGGAAGTTGATTAATAAATATTCATTTGAAAGATTTGCAAAGCCTCCATCATCATCTTCTTCCTTGGATTTGGTATAGACAACCTTAACAAAGCCATTTTTATGCTTAATGTTCTTATAAAGTGATACTACCTAAAGTATTAAGCTTGGGAGTATATAATAAATATTGATTATGAGGTGCAATGTAATGTGGATTTCATATATGCTATATAGCAATCCTCTAATTAAAATTATGAAATTTAAACTATAGTGTAGAGAGTTAACTGAGGTTTAGGCAACTAAATGAATAACAATTTATTAATTATAGAAGAAGGGGTATCAAAACTTTGTATGCTAATTGAAGTTTGATTGATTTATTATAATAATGTCACTTTTAGAGTTCATTGTGACAAAACAACCTTAAATAAAGAGGTGTGAAATGACACATATGAGCTATTTGGGTATAAATTAGGATAAAATGCTAAATAAACTTATAACAAGGAATCTGTCTAATTCATTGTTTATGATTATTTAATGCTTTAAATGAGCATGTATTGAACGTATGCCTTAAATTCTATCTATTTGAATTTAAATATTTATGAAGCCACCATGCATTGGAGCAGGATGATTCAATGTCAATGATAAAAAAGTAATGTCTTGTGATCTTCTGTCAGATGGGTAACTCGTTATTAGTTAGGGGATAAATATACACTTTCCTTGGTAGGGGCTGTTATCCCTTTGACATTTTTTTATGCAGTTAATTGTTGATAATAAAAATATGGAATTATGCTTTAATTGTTCATAGTAATTCATATGATCATTATGAATATTATGAATAGCTTGAACTTATTTACTTGTTGTTACAAAATTATTAGCAAGTTCACACTAATATTTTTCGCAATTCTCGCTTTAAGAATAATACTTATTGTCCATATAAATTATAAAATGCATTCATATGTAACCAAAGGTTTGATCATTTCAACAATCATCATTGCAGAATTGTTATGTAAAACAAAATTATATAATATAGCTTTGTGTAAATGATGCATATATTGTTCAATAAAATTTTTTTTATATTGGCTAACTGGGGCCTAGACAGGCCGGAAAAAAATCATTGAATTTTCTTGATATGATGTCTACCTTTCTAGTTTCAAGGTATCGTAAAATGTGTGTATTAAAGGAAATGATAAATAGTTGAATTTTTTGATTTTTTATTTTTAAATTTATTAAGTAAAGTATGCTTATAAGTTGAATGTTTTCACAATCAAACCACAATGGTTCTTTTTTTTTATTACACAATGGTCATTTATTTTATTAATGTTTATGAACTCTAAGTGTTATAATAAGTATTTTTAATTTTTATATTTAAAAATCTTGTCCTTGATGTAGTGTCTATAACTATAATGATTTAAATTCGTATTTTACTTTGTTTCTTCTTCATCGATACATTTTATTCCTATGCCTAGTTTTATACTTTTTT